AAAAAAAAAAAAGAAAAAAGAAGAAAAAAAAAAAAGCCTACTTTCAAGTAGGCAGGTTAGCTCTTAAACCCTTTGGTTAACATATTACATTCCTTCTTTATATTTACTTTTTTAATGAAGCTTGTGGCACATCAAAGCACCTTTTAAAACAATTACTTCCCCAAGAAAGTTGTGAACCACAAAGAAAGCAAGAAGCCTGGACTTTGTATTCCTCTGAGAGCTGATAATCTCCCAGTATTTAATGAAAAGTGAGAGCAAGCATTCTGAGCAAAGGAATAGGACAGAGAAAAACTGAACAACTTTCTGCCTAATCTGAGTCAAGTTTTTATAGTTGTATATATTAGTCTGTTTCAAATGTAAGCTTTACAATTAAGGTACAGTCTTAAGTTAATTATGGTATGAGTTGAATGCGATGTGAATGAAAGTTAACTGTCCTTTACAGTTGTCTGGAACTTGGGAGTACATGGCATTGCTATTAATAAAGCATTTGGAGACACTCTTCACATGGAGAGGCAGTATGGTGCAGCTGAACACTGGCCTGATAGGGAGGAGACAGAGTTCCAACTTGTAGCTGTGTCATTTACTTGTTCTATGACCTCAATCTTTAGATCTCAGTTCCCTTGTCTATATGAGGAGGAGACAAAATTATATGGTCTTAAAGGTCTCTTCACATTCAAAAGTTTAATGACTTTATGAGGAAGATATAAAACCAGAAAAAATTAAAACAGTTTTTCTCAAAAGTATCTTTCAATCTTTGTGAAGCTTTGGCTTTGTTCTACCTAGGCAAAAATAGGAAACAGTTCACTTACATTTTATTAACCTATACAAGTCCACAAATGAGATAAATGTTAGACTAGCCTGGCATACAATTACATTAATTACAAAAAGTTTAAAAAGTGTTTCCTCAGACCTGTACAGCTTAATGATACTTACCTGGAAGGCAAAGTCAAATGAATATCAGATCTAAACATTGCTTAGCGATAGCTAATTCCAACAATTTTCTAAGTTTTAATTTGGCTTCTAAAATTTCCCAATCAAGGAGAAACCACACTGGCCAATTTCAAATCTAGTTCACAGCGCAGTTACAGGTCTTTTTAATATTAGTATCAATAGATCCTTAACATCTAATCAAGTTGTAACTATATGTAAGCCATACCAAGGACCATGATGTGTAACATGTAGTTTTCACTGAGTTACATCTAAATCATTCAAAACATGAGGAAGAACTGTGATAGTGAGAGTGCCTATAACTGCTCAGTAACCCATATCTCAAGGTGATATATTTTCTTTTCAAACATAACTAACAAATTGGGCCAATGGACATGTTTCTTTGTGAGTAATGTTTCCTCAAAAGAAAGAGAACTGCTATGCTGGTGATTAAAAAAGTGAAGATGACTAGGAAATTGTTTATCTGAGCAATAGAATTCTCTTTAATAATTTAAAATATGGGGCAGCTAAATGACATAGAATCAAATGTTATAGAGTCAGTAAGGATCTGAAAGAGGCCCATTTTTTTTTCATTCATTCTTTTTATTTGTGATGGATGACTACCACAAGTTATAGTCATATTCTATTATTTGAAGCGTTAGAAGTGGAAAGTATCTCTATAAATATCTGGGTTTCTTGTAATTAGTTTTTCAAGCTTAAATTAACTATATATAAGTTTAAATAGAATGAGCCAGTTAAATCTCTGGGCTTTACCATCTCAGGGTCAAGATTTCAAATTTATAGGCCTAAGAGAATAAGTTTTGAGGGTAGTACTTTAAGGCAGACCTTACTACGACAAGTAAACACCCATGTATATCTAATTTTCAGCATAAATGAATACACTTTAATGTAAATGTTTATGAAATAGGAAATATTACCTCTTTGAAATGTGACATCCAATTTGCCAAGGTAAGGTGGGAGTTCCTTCAAAAGATATTGAAAAAATGTTAGCTCTCAAAAAATAAAAAGCATTTCAGTGTCTCATTAAGACAGACAGATTTACTTCTTCAAAAAATAAAAGAACAAAATACTACGTATGTTTACATAGGACACCCTTTAGCAGGACATCAGCAACAGCAAATCAGTCACATAATTATTTACTTTCACAACCTAAAAGAAATCTGTACTATTTAATATGGACCTTTTCTCAGTAATAAATATACAAAGATCAGTAGATAAATGTCAAGAACAGACAATTCAAAGAAAAAAAACAGAAAAATGACTAACAATCATGTAGAAAAATCTTTAAAGTCACAAATAATCAAATAAATGCTAATTAAGGTTTAATGGAACAAATCAGGACATTTTTGGTATAATTAATGCCCAGTAATGATACATGTACAGCAAAATGAGAATTCTTCTAACACCAGATTTTAGAACTCTTTTTAACACTTAAAAAGCAAGCTGGCATAGGGAATACAGCCAGTATTGTAGTCACTTTGTGTGGTAACAAATGCTAACTACACTTATCATGGTGAGCATTTCATAGTGTATATAAATGTTGAATCACTATGTTGTACACCTGAAACTAATATTATATGTTAATTATAGTTCAATAAAAAATTGGGGGGAAAAAGTAAGCTGGTTAATAGCAACTTTCAATATATATTAAGATACTATAATATTCTTAACCTTTACCCTAATAATTTCTCTGCTGTGATTAGTTAAGGGAAATTTTTTTAAAATATAGAGGTAACTTTATCTTTTTTTAATTAATTAATTTTTATTAAGGTATCATTGATATACACTCTTATGAAGGTTTCTCAAGAAAAACAATGTGGTCACTACATTCACCCTTATTATTGAGTCTCCTCCCCATACCCCAATGCAGTCACTGTCCATCAGTGTAATAAGATGCCACAGAGTCCCTACTTGTCTTCTCTGTGCTACACTGTCTTCCCCGTGACCCCACACACACCATGTGCACTAGAGATAACTATCTTTTAGTATCTTTATATGTATGCTTTTAAAAACATATATATTTTAAATAACTTTATATAAGCATCTAAATATAGAGAAAGCTTTATTTATATGCATAAAGATGTTCAGTGTAGTGTTATCTATAATGATGAAAACTTAGAACTAATTCAAATGTCCAACAATAGAGGAATGGTTAAAAATAACTATATATCCATTCAATGGAATAACTGTAATAACCTGAAATGTTTATGAAAAATAAGCATGGAATCTGAAATGGCTAACTACTGTACAACTTTAATGATATGACATTCTGAAAAAGGTAAAACTATGGAGACAATAAAAAGATCAGTGGTTATAGGGGTTAGCAGGGCAGGGAGGATGAAAAGGCAGAGCACAGATGATTTTTAGGGCAGAGCAGCTATTCTGTAATATACTATAGTAATGGATACAGAGCCTATGGAATGTACACCACCAAGAGTGAACCCTAATGTAAACTATGGGTGACTCTGAGTGATGATAACATATCAGGGTAGTTTCATCAGTTACAATAATGTACCAATTTGCTGCAGAATATTGATAGTGGAGAAAGGCTGTGCCTGAATGTGGTCAGAGAGTATGTGGAAATCCTCTATATTTTCTGTACTTTACTGTGAACCTATAACTACTCTAAAAACTGAAGTCAATTGAAAAAGAAAAACACAGAAAAATGTATATTGTGCCATAGTGTTGAGGCATTTAAAAATACAATATACATAATATACAATGGAATCACAACTATGGGTGTACATACAGATTTTGTTAACATAAGTTTTCTTTAGGTGGTAAAATTAGGCATTATTTTCCCTTCCATTTATCAGTATTTATTATAATGAGCATGTAAACTACTAAAATCAGATTTTTAAAGGGTTCTTTCCTATACTTGAAGATGAGTAAAACTAATTAATATATTTAATCTGAATCCAATGAATTGCAGAATACTGCAAGCAAGTTGAACTCTAGTGGTCTTATATTTGAGGAATTTGGTGATTTTCTTAAAATACTTAATAAAAATAAGTCTACAGATGTATGAAGGGAGTACAAAGCCTCAGTGGAAATCAGAATCATTTTTTTCATTTCCTTTGACATTTGTTATTCAATTACTATAATATTTTTATTATTTATTGAAGCATTGTCTGGCATTATGTGTTTTAAAAATCTTACAAGTCCTAATATCTATTAGTTTATCATGCATTTTTTACTTACACAGTACTTGAGATCAGAGATGTTTACATTGACCCCAGTTGATCTCTTTAGATTCTCATCATGAGACACTACAACTTGTTCATCTTTCGTGATATGGCAGTCCAATTCCAGCATATCAGTTCCAATTGTAACTGCACTGAAGAAATACAAAGAAGCGTAATGACTGAAACTTCAGTGAACATTTAGGTTACATGCATAAGATGTAAAGATTCAGAGTTACAAATCAAATAGCAAAAAATCCCATAATACTAAAATTTCTTGATACTGTCAACTATTGTGATTTATTGATGTGAAAATATTCTAAGTGAATTTAGAATGAAATAATCATTTTCCTTCTTTCCATAACCAGCTATCCTTATTTCAGTCAACCCAATATAATGGAAAGAACACTGGACCAGAAGTTAAGAGATCTGGATGCCAATGCCTGCTTTGCAGCAAACTTTAGGCAAATAAATGCCCTTCTCTGGGCCTACATTTCCATATCTATAAAGTGAAAAGATTAAAAAACAAGGAAAGGATGCCAGCCTTTGCCATTTTAATTCTAGATAGGATTAGAAATTTCTAGCCAGATCAATTAACCAATAAAAAAAAGAAGGCATGCAAATTGGACAGGAAGAAGTAAAATTCTCTGTTTACAGATGACATGATCTTATATGTAGAAATCTTAAAGATTATACACAAACTATTATGACTAACAAACTCAGTAAAGTTAAAGAATACAAAAATCAACACAATACAAAATCAAAACAGTTGTGTTTCTATACACTAACAATGAACAATCTGAAGAGAAAAATCAAACAATTCCTTTAGAACAGAATCAAAAGAATTTTTTAAAACCTCAGGAATTAATCAGGAAGTAAAAAACCTGTACAATGAAAAACTACAAAACATTGCTTAAAGAAATTAGAGAAGATATACATAAATGAAAAGCCATTCCATGTTCATAGCTTGGAACACTTAATATTATTAAGATGTAAATAGTACATTGGTCTACAGATTCAGTGAAGTTCCTATCAAGATCCCAATTATGTTGCTTGCAAAAATAGAAAAGTCCATCATAAAATTCATATGGAATCTCAAGGAACCTCAAATAGTCAGATACAATCTTGAAAAAGACGAATACATTTGGAAGACTCATAGTTTCTGACTTCAAAAGTTGCTGCAAAGCTACAGTAACCAAAACAATATGGTACTGGTATAAAGACAGACACACAGACCAATGAATTAGAATAGAGTCCAGAAACAAACCCTCAAATATATGGTCAAATGATTTTGACAACAGTGCAAAATCATTCAATGGGGAAAGGATGGTCTTTTCAAAAAATGGTGCTGGGAAAACCAGTTATCCATATGTAAATGAATGAATTTGGATTCTTACCTAACACACTATCCCAAAATAAACTCAAAATTCATCAAAGACCTTACCATAGACCTAAAATGAAAAATCTCTTAGAAGAAAATACACAAGAAAAATTACATGACATTGGATTTGGCAATAATGTCTTAGATATGACACCAAAAGTACACGCAACAAAAGATAAAATAGACAAATTGTACTTCACTGAAATTAAAAACTTTTATACATTAAAGGACACTATCAACAGAGTAAAAAAGGAACCAACAGAATAGGAGAAAATATCTGCAAATCATCTATCTGATATTAGTATCCACAATCATAAGGAACTCCTGAAACTCAAGAAATGACCCAATTCAAAATGAGCAAAGAATTTGAATAAACATTTCTCCAAAGATGTGTCAATAAGCACATGAAAAGATGCTCAATATCACTAATCATTAGGGAATTGCAATCAAAATCACAAGATACCACTTCATACACATTTGGGATGGCTATTGTAAAAAAGAAGATGTAGAAGAAGAGGGGGAAGAGGAAGAAGAAGAGGAGGAGGAGGTGGAGGAGGAGGGAAAAGAGACTTATACAAAGAATGAAAGAAAGAGAAAGAAAAGAAAAAGGGAAATACATGTATTGGTCAGGATGTGGAGAAATGGGAGAAATGGGAAACCTTGTGTGTAATTGGTGGGAATGTAAAATGATGCATCCACTGTGGAAAACAGTATGACACTTCCTTAAAAAAAATTAAACATAGATTTACCATATGATCCAGCACTTCCACTTCTGGGTACATACAGTAAAGAATGGAAGCAGGGACTCCTAGAGATACGTGAACATATGAACATTGTCCATGTTCATACAAGCGTTATTCATAATAGCCAAAGGCAGGAAGCAATCAAAATGTTTATCAACTGATGAATCTATTGACAAAAGTGATAGACATATACAATGAAATATTATTCAGCCTTAAAAAGAAAGGAAATTCTGATATATGCCACAACATGGATGAACCTCTGAGACATTATGCGAGGTTAAACAAGCCAAAAAATAAAGTGCAAATATTTGATTATTCCACTTATATATAGGTACACAGAATAGTCAAATTAAAAGACAGGAAGTAGAATGGTGGTTAGCAGGACCTCGGGGAAAGGGTTCAGGCAGTTATTCCTTAATGGGTCATTTCAGTATGGGACAATGAAAAAATTCTAGAGATAAACAGTTGATGATAGTTGCATAAAAATGCAAATGCAAATGTATTTAATACCACTGAACTATATGGTTAAAATGGTAAATTTTATGTTACGTATTTTACTATGATAAAACAAAATTTAAAAAAAATTTTTAAAATAAAGGATTAGACCAGATAATCGTAAGATCCTTTCACCTCTAAGATCCTATGATTTTTAGCGAGGGTGTACCACAGTGGTTAAAAGCACAAAGACTGGGGGGAAAAAAGGGGGTGTAAATATGTGAGGTGATGGATGTGTTAATCAACTCAATGGTGGGAATCCTTTCACAATAATCCACATACTGAATCACCACATTGTACACTTTAAATATATTATAATTTGTCAATTATACCTCAGTAAAGTGGTGGGTGGGGGGAAGAGCACAGACACTGAAGCCTGCATTCAAATCCTGCTCATCCACTTACTTGGGCAAGTCATTTAGCTTCTTTATACTTCAGTTTCCTTATTTGCAAAACAGTGATGATAATACTAGCTCTGCACACCTCCTTTCCACCTTGTACCTTACACTCCAAGCAGCCCTATGCTGTCTCACTACTCCCTCTACCTGAAATGTCTTTCACAGAAAAACAATATACAATAATAGATAAAAACTTGAACAGGCACTTCACAAATGACTGTGGATTTCCAAATGGTCATTAAGAATATGAACAGTTAACAGTAATATTCAATTAGAGAAATGTAAATTAAAACCACAATGAGGGAGCACTACATACCCATACAAATGGCTAAAATTAAAAGGACTGACAAATTAGCAAGACAGTGGAGCAACTGGAACTCTCCTAACTATACAGCTACCCTAGGACCCAGCAATTACACTTCTGATTAGTATATTATCTCAGAGACATAAATGCATTTGGTGATTAAAAAACGTTCATTACAGATGAATCTTGCACACATAAACTGAAAGAAAGCCAGAGAAAAAAGGGTAAATACCAGATGATTACATTATGCTATCAGGAACAGGCAAAAGCAATCAATTAAAATAGAGATTAAAATAATGGTTTTCTAGGGTCAAGGAATGTGGACTGTGAAAGGACGTAAGAGTGTCTTCAGGGGTGTTCTATATCTTTCTCTGGGGGTGGTTACACAGATGTTTACATAGGTTAAAAGCCACTGGGCTGCCCACTTAAGATTTGTGCATATTGTTGAATGTATATTATACACACCACAGTAACAAGTTTTAAAGTCTTTCTTCCTTCCCTGATCTGCTAACGCTTCCTTGTCCTTCAGGTCTAAGCTTAGAAACCTCCTCTTCAGAATACCTTCCTTAATCCTCCCAAACTAGATTAGGTCACCAATTTACATGGAGTATTGATTGCCAAATTGCCAGGACTTCTTATAACACCTTGTTTATCATAGTACTTGCACAGTACATGCTATTATGAAGGTATTTATCTAACTCTTACTTGCCCACCTAGACAGGAGCTCTTAGGAAAGGGTTTGTGAACCGTATCTTGTTTACTATTATATTCCTAGGGCTTAGGCACAGGGCCTTGCAGTGTAGGTACTCCATAGTATTTGTTAAATACTGAATTAATGAATGAAAAGAGATAGCTCTCTTTATATGTAAAATGCCTCCATAGCACCTTATGTATCAATTACCACAGATAACATTTCAAGATGAAGAAAAATTAAACATGGGTGGAGCAAGGAGAAAGTCTGAGAGAAGGTTCTTTCTAAAGTCCAGGAATAGAAAGAGTAAGAGCTGGGGTGAGCAGATAGGATGAGAAAATATAAAAATAGATAATTTACAGTTTGTATAATGTATTCTAATGCCCTTAAATTATTTTCTAGTGAATCCATATAAGGTCATGTCTCTACAACTAGATACTAAATTCCTGGACAGGAAAGGCCTATGTCTGTTCCATATTTTCTAATGTTCATGATGTTAGGTATAATGTGGGTATTCAACACATTTCTAAATGAGCGGAATGAAGCCATGTTTTAGTTATCAACATCTATTAACACTTAAAATTTTAATGATCATCCAGTTGGCACCTAAGTGTTTATCAATAATGATCTGTATCCACAGTATTATGCTTCAAAGAATCAAGTATTCACATTGAATGGCATTGTTGAACTGTATCTGAATAAAAAATATATATAGAATGATCACGCTGATGGAAAATACAGTTTATATGTAATTTTTTAAAAGACTAGAAAGATATAGGCCAAATCATTACAGTGGTTATCTCTCATAAGTGGTGTTACAGGGAATGGAATTAGAGATTTGAGCAGGCCTTTTTACTTCACATAAATTATTTGAATCTTTAGAAAAGAAACTTTTATAATAGAGAAATAAGGATATTTCCATTATGAATATATTTTTTTCTAAAAGACATTTGGATACCAAGTTATCCACCATCAACAGAATGAATTACAGCAGGTATTTAAGAAAATTGAATATCCTTTTAAATACATAAACACTCATGATTCTTATTCTGCCTGTGTATCTCCTGAATTGGGTGAATATACTTTCTGTTTTATACTTGAACTTAAAATACATAATATACAAATATTATATATCAATTAAAG